CTATATAATTTTTAAATAATTATATAAATTTATGAAAATGTTTATATTTTATACAGATTAATAAATTTGATGGTAGATATTAGATAAGCATTATTTATCCTTGAACACCTTGAACAAATAGCCGCAATGCACTGTTACTCCTAAAACTTAATCAGGAATTTAGCCCGTACAATCCCCAGCAACACTTACAACTTAGACTCTAAAGATAAAAATGGATATAATCAACATAGAAACAGAAGCCATATCATTCTAGAATATAGCCACAATATGCTACTACTGTATAAAGAAATAGTAAGCCTAAAAGAAACAAAATTAACTATCAGACATAATTTTACCATCTTTAATATGCTTTAGAATGGAAAAGATAAGGCTAATAATCTTAGGGTACCAGTGGTATATAAAATTTTTTTGAAAGACAACAGATTTGGTTACAAACTTGAATATATTAGTTTCACCACAAGATCATTCAAAATAAGACTAGCTGGACACAAATGCAATATTGACAAAAAGAAACTAAGCACTGCCCTATTCATATATGCAACAGATAATGAGGTACAAGCCTTCCCCGATAAGGCCACCATCATCAAAAGATCAAAACATGTTGACTCCATCAAGATACTAGAGGCATTAGGAATTTTTAAATCTGAAAAAAGGGACATTGTATAAATTTAAAGAGAAAAAACAACTGCCATTTACATGGCAGTTGTTTTTTCTCTTTAAATTTATACAATGCATGTTTTTCTGCTTTAAATTTATACAATGCAATACACATGGCAATCCTTATATGACCACATGACCAAATATGACATAACAACATGACATGGGTCAATATAACAAAAAGTTGTCTATTTTGTTATATAGTCTTTAAAATGTTGATTTTAACTGTATACTTTGTAATTTTACATATTTATCATCACTTTTATTTCTGTTTTATATATCCCAAGAATCTCTTGCGTTTAAAAATTATTTAAATTTTTTCAAAAACATCACTGTTCAATTTAAGCATTTCATCAATGAGTATAGAATCAAGACCTGAAGAAGATCTTCAATTGAAGATTGAAAATATTAGTTGAAAAACTGTTTTGAATTAACTGTTACTGGAAAATAATTTAAGGCTTTAGAGCATTGTTGTCTAACCAAAATTGTTTACTGGGCCAAAACCAAAAATAAAAAAACAATGTGGGCCATACATATTTATTTACAATAAAACATATACAATTATACAGTATTTTGTATGTATTCTAATGTGAAACTTGCTTTTCAATTTTTTTAATTTTTTAATATCAACAGGTATTTTTGATGTTGTATAACATAATTGTTTGTTTTTTTTTTAAATTTATTACAACTTTTACATTTAACAATCTTCAATTTTGAGAAAAAAGATTCACAAAAATAGGTGATTCCCATTGCAGCTGTAATGCTTTGTGAAGAACATAGTTACAATTTATGTAATGCTCATCATGTTTTTTCAGGTTAGGGAATGTATCATTACAAACGTATTTTGTATAAAATTGAACTTTGTTATTGCCTCAAACATATATTTCAATTCAGAAGATGAATGGAGAGCTATCAAATATATTTGCAAGTTTGTTGGAGCTTGTTCCACAATAATGTCAAATGGACATAAGAAAATATTAAATATATTCTTGTGAGGGCTAGTCATGGGTAGAGAGTCTGGGTTAGTCTCTATACCACTTATTCAGCAATGCAATCGGTTGGATTGACTTACAGAGTCGAAGGATGGCTTTCTAAGACTTAAATTGAAGAACAGAAGTTTGTGAGAAATCCCTGCAAGTTTGTTTTTCCTGACACCAGCCTAGTTATAGTGTTAGGCAAGCAGGAAGAGGAATTTCAAGGGGGAGGGTCGCGAGTAAGTGGAGTGGACGTTAGCTTGGATTTGAGTCAAGAATGAGACCATGTTGAAACAATAACAAGAATTTAATAAAGTCAAAAGGGATTGAATACAATAAAATGAGAGATCTCTAATTTCTTATAATTACTCTAATCATGAGAGAGAGAGTTTACATATACATTAAGTTGTACTACTTTACTCAAGGAGTCTTCTTTGTCCTTTGGTTGATGTTGAAAATCATCAGGTTGGGAGAAGATCAGGAGGATAATATGAATGGGTGGAACAAACTTCTATGTGCATTATACTAACAAGGAGAGCCTACGGCTTTGGGGTAACGGATTTTGACAATCTTTGGTGTAGAAGTAGTACACCATGTGAGTGTACTACCTGTAAAATACTAAAGTGCAATACTCAAATATAATCAAGAAAATCGAACTTAAAGTTTTTTAGCACTTTATATATAAATTATACGTACTTCTATTTGAGCGTCCTGTGGCAGAGTGGTAACGAGTCTGATTCATAATCTTGAGTTCTCGGGTTCGATTCTCACGTATAATTTTTTTTTTTTAATTCATAAATACTTATAATGTATTTATTTATTTACTCATTCATTTCTTATTATTTATTTATTTTAATATATTATATAACTTAAGCCCATAACCCGAGAAAACTCGGGCAAGTTACATAGCGTTACATAAAACGCGGTCCTTAAATGTTTTTTTTTTTAAATTTTTGGAATGTTTTTTGTCTCCAAATTTTTTCAAAATTTTTTTCCTGCGCTAAAAAAATTTATCGCGATTTTAATGAGCCTTTGAAAAGGCTCGATTAAGGCTTAATTGTTTTTTAATGGGATTTTTTATCAAATTAATTCATCGTTCTAAAGTTCTAGCGCACGGATTTTCTTTCCTTAAAGTTATTTAAAGCTAGTTTCTGATGTCAAAAACGACCTCCGATAGTTTTTTAATTTTTTTAATTAATATATTTTATTATATATAAATTTAATTAATTAGATGGGGTCGGAAATCGCAATTAAAATTTCAATTTTTTAAAAATATTTAAAAATATAGGCCTAGCTAGTAGTCACCCTACTTTAAACCCTTGTCATCCCGAGACGTCTATGAGAATGTCCCGGGAAATCCAACTCCAGCTGTGTTCAAGGTCATCCAGATGTGTAAACAATGACTCATCGGTGTTAAATTTCACAGAAAGGCGAGACAAAGGAAAATAAAATTTGAAGATTTTTCTTCAAAATTAACGCATTTCTTTCGTTTTTTTTCAGTTTTTAAGTATTTTTTACGTTTAAATAAATTAATCTCAAAAATGTCTATGTCCTTAAGGAGTTAAACAAGTTCTCGTTTAAACATACCTTGCAATTGTAAAAAAGCAGCATTTATTTGTTGTTCTTGGTGTAGACAGAATTTTTGTTTTGAATGTTTTTATCATAAGTATCATTCACGATCATGTACATCTGACAATGCTATGTAATTATATAATATTGCTTCAATAAATTATATTCGTTTTTCTTGGTTATATTTGAGTTTTGCACTTTAGTATTTTACTTCACTATGCTGCTTTGATACATCACTGTATAAAGAGTTATCATCAACAGTTTTTTCGTCACAACATGAAGAACTTGCTTCTCTTGACGACATTTTTTAATTATAAAATAATTTTTCAAAATAAGTTTTACTACACAAATACGTCTATTCGTGTCGAAATTTAGAAACGAACTGTTAAAGAGTGAGTGAAAAAGAACTCTGATAGAAAAACGCTCCTAGTGAGAATTAGATCGGTCACCGTTAGTGATAACAATTAGATGGGAAAGTTGACACATAGGTGTCAAGAATGCGCCGTTATTGTCAACAAAAGTATAAAAATATTAGACTTGGAATAGTAGAAATTAAATTAAAATAAATAAATAATAAGAAATGAATGAGTAAATAAATAAATACATTATAAGTATTTATGAATTAAAAAAAAAATTATACGCGAGAATCGAACCCGAGAACTCAAGCTTATGAATCAGACTCGTTACCACTCTGCCACAGGACGCTCGAATAGAAATACGTATAATTTATATATAAAGTGCTAACAAAACTTTAAGTTCGATTTTCTCGATTATATTTGAGTATTGCACTTTAGTATTTTACAGGTAGTACACTCACATCGTGTACTACCTCTACACCAAAGATCATCAAAATCCGTTACCCCAAAGCCGTAGGCTCTCCTTGTAAGTTTGGCAGGAAGACTTTTCTTTGGCAGCATATGGCCTTCTATGGCATGTTCTCTTTCCATTGAACTGCCTTAAGTTATATGGCAATTACTTCTTTCGATGAACTGCCCAGAATGGCGGAAAAATTCCCCTTTTATTGGGACAAGTTAACAGGATATGTAATGAGTGCAGAGAGGGTAAACAGACATATGACTATAGTGATAAGCTGTGTGGGAAAGGAAGTTGATTTTCTTCTTTCTTCCAAACAATGGAGGTCACTTCCTCCCTTGTAAATATTATTTTAGATAATTAATATATTTCTTATAAAATATTTATGCTTAAAAACCCTGAGGTCTCACATTCTCATAAATTTTTAAATATAAAAATATTTTTTGAAATTCTCTTAGTAAATTAATAATTTCTTGTGCATATTTAGAAAAATGTTTTTGTCACTATTAAATTTATGTAATTTTGGACAATGAATTGTAGTGTTTGATTTTAACTGACTTTCATAAAGTTTGAGTTTTGCTATGAATGCTTTTATATTTTGATAACAGTCTGTGATCAATTTGTGACCTTGAAGCTGCTTATTAAATTTGTTTATTTCATTGTGATATTTGGAAGGAAACATAAATCCAAAAACTACTGTCCATCATATAATTTAGGAACATTCTGGTCCTTTTCATTTATAAAATTTTAAATTTCTTCTCTCAAAATTTTTAAAGCATTTTCTATGACTTAATTAGCAGAGATAGCCAAAGAGAATAACTTTATTAAAAATGGCTGCCAGATCAAAGAAAAGAAAACAAGTAACTAATGGTCATCTGATTTTGAAATGACCTACAGAACATAACCTTTACATGAAGCACACCTTGGTGGCTGAAAAATAATTTGTACAATAAAACATAATTAAACTCATTAACAATCTAAACACAATGATTTGAAATTTTAAATTTATATGCATGTGTAATTCTAATTAAAATTTTATTAGGCTTATTTCCAAAGAATTTAAAGAAAACAATAAAATTTCTTATCATTTATTGGAAACACAGAAGACCTCTGTAACTTAAGAATGTGTCCATTGTTTGACATTTATTACACATATATGGCAAATTTAAGGAAAAATAATTTCATTATACCAAAACACCAATTTAAAAATATTTGTTGTTGTAAACATACTGATTAAATACATATATATTATATGTAATAGATTTGAAGATTTGTTAAAGAATATTTATAATTTCTTTTTAATTTCTGTTTTAATTTCTGAGTGTACAGTAGATTATAAGGTGTTATACATCATATTAATGTATTTAACTATACATGTGAAATTTCATTATAATAAAAATCTATGCAAGATAATTACTGTTTTAAAAGGGCTGAACAAAAACATTGAGTGGGCCTCAGGTTGGATATCACTGCTTTAGATTGAAATATTTACTATATCTTTTCAGTTCAATAATTGGTGTTTTATCTATTTTATGAACACATTAAAAAAGTAAAAATAAATGAAAATTTATGTAGTTTTGATTATAATTTTGTTTATTACAAACCATTTAAAGTTTTAATGTATTTGAAAATTGCACTAATATATAAACTATATTTTTTTGCAGAAAGCTATAAAAATCATCAGAACCCATTATCAATATTTGGTCTTTTACCTTATGAACAAAAAATGTCTTTGGTCAATGTTGTCTTGAAAAAGCATACTTCCTACAATGAACCTATCAAATCAAAAGAACCTCTTATATTTCATATTGGCTATCGTCGGTTTGAAGCCTGTCCAATTTTTTCTGATCATAATTTTGGTAAAAACCATAAAGTAAGTTTTGTTTGTCTGAAGCTTAAATTGCTGTAAATTCTCTTTATTTAAAATTATCATCATTTTGTTCTTGCAATTTAATACAGAATCCACTAATTGTAATCATTAATATTGTCATCAGCCATTTAATGTTATCTGAATTAGTAAATCCTAAAACAAATTTAAAAAAACACTTATGAAACTTCATTTATTGTAATTGTAGTTTTGGTTAGATTTATCATTATTTTTAGTTAAATAGGCATTTACTGTTCATGCTGTTAGTCTCATCATATGGTTGATAACACAATCATTATCAGTCACAATCATTATAATTAATATTGTAAAAATGACTATTATCATTTCAATTAGTATTTGTTCATAATAAATCAATTTGAATTGATGGCATTTCTTATTTCAAATAAGTTAGCTGCTATTAAAGATGCTACTTGAAAAAATTAATAGAAAAGTGACTTGATGGATTAGTAATAATTATTATTATAATTAATAAATCTTTAATTTATACATATTTTAATTTTCACATGTTTTTCAATATTAAAGTCAATAAAATCAGAATTTCCATTTTCATTAATTGTAGTCTTATTTATTTATCTCTCTTAATGCTATTGGTTATCATCATCAATGCAGGGAAGTCTCAGTGATTTATAGTAAGCGATTTCTACTATATATTTAATTTCACATTTTTAAAAAAAGAAACCCAGTCAATATATATTAAGATTAATCGAAGATAAAATTAATAATAAAATATACTACAGTAAAATGCTTAACCTTTCAACAGTGGACTAGTCGGGTATGGTTCTACCCACAGTAGTGGAAAATAAATGTGGGAAATCTTTAAAGTATTTTTCCACACGTTTTTTTCTTATTACTGTTTTGGAAAAAGATTTTGTAAACAATTATCTCTAGTAAAGAAAAGTCTTTTTTTATTGTTACATAATTTATTTTTTATGTGAATTTTTTTTTGCAGTAGTTTTAGGCTAGTTTTTGGCGATACCCCCCAAAAGTATTTGACGACTATAGTCGTCTCTCACCATTGCCACATGATCGCTCACTACTAAGTGGTTAATATACTTTATTACTAATTTTATTTTAGGTGGTTGTAATGTAAAACAATTTAATTTAGTTTTTGTATATGTTTAATATAATTTTTATTTTGATGATAATATCATAAAAATTTAAAAATTATAAATTTTATGTATATTTAATTATATTATAATATTTTAATACTGCATTTATATTAAAACAAACCTTTATACAAGTGAAATCAAATGTAGTAATAGTTGTATTCAATAAAAATAAGTTTTATTGTTTCTTATCTAATTAAGATCAAGCTATCCTATATTGCCTAAGTTTCTGTTGTTATTAAATAAATAAATGTTAATGCAAATATTAATTATTATTATATAAAATTAAAGTTGATTTGTTATTTTTTAGTTTGAAAGATTTTTGCAACATGACACAGCTTCTGTAGCTTCTTTTTATGCACCTATAATTTTTCCACCTAATCCAGTTCTTGTATTCAAAAAAGAAGGCAAGTATGATTTATGTTTGTAATATGTGAAATTATTAACATAATATCTTTAAATATTTATTTTAAAATATTTGTAAAAACATTTTAACATATAAGTAAGGAAAAGACTAACATCACAAGTAGCCATTTACAAATATGTGAATAAATTGTACGTCAGATATTCTTTTTACAGCAAACTGTATGAAAAATTAAGTTTCTGTTTCATAAAGCTAATATATGAAAATTGATAATAAAAGTAAGAGATATTTTTGAGAGATCCTAGAATTTTTCTTAGAATTTTGAAGTATAGTGCTTTTTTCATGAGATTGATTTTGTATGTTTTTAGCAACGATGTATGCAACATAACAGATGATAATATTTTTGGCATATATTTTACATTGAAAATTTAGCAATAATGTTGAGAAAATATTTATATTTTTTTTACAACCAGTTTATTATCTGCATTTAGCTAAATCATATTTTATGAAATATTTTGGAGAAACATTTAAAAATTTAAATTTTATGAATGAATTTATTCATTGGCATCTGAATTAAATTATTATTTTTTAATTATTACATCTGTTAAAGGATTATGTTTTCAATAAGTAAAAGTTTCTCATTTTTGTATTTACTGTTTAAATAAAACAAATTTAAAATATTCTATTTCAGGATCTTTGAAACTTATAGCAACCGGTTCAGTATTAAATGCTGATCCTAATCGAATAATTATCAAGCGTGTAGTTTTAAGTGGACATCCTTTTAAGATAAATCGAAAATCTGCAATTATTCGATATATGTTCTTTAACAGAGGTAAGCTAAATTAATTTGTTAATTTATACTTTTATATAATTTAAGGCTACATTATTTATTTTCAAAGTTCTTGAATTTATTTTCATAATTATAATTTGAATATATAGTATATTGATGTTCTAAATTAAAATTCAAAAGATATTTTTGAAAAGTAGATAAATTTTATCTACTTTTCAAAAATTGATTGTTTTCATTACCAGTTTCTGTGGATTTTTTAAGACTAAAATTTTGGCTCTTTTTTTCAATAACTTACATCACACAAGGAACTCTTATTGATATAGACTTTATTACTGGATATATGCATTTCGGGTCTTAATGACTTTTCTTCTGCTCTTATTTTTATACAGATATTAACCGATTATTGAATACAAATTGATATTAAAATTGGGCAATTAACTGGATATATTATAAAAACATTTTGAAAAAAGCTGGTTTTCAGAAGCTGCAAATTCTAGCATAACAATTAAATATATTTCTTCAATTATTAATAATATAATTTATCAGTTGAGTTTGTGTGTGTCATCTCTTAATAATTTTTAAGAACAATTGAATAAAATTTCATTAATAATTTAAAAACATTTTGAAAAAAGCTACTAAGTTTTCAGAAGCTGCAAATTCTAGCATAACAATTAAATATATTTCTTCAATTATTAATAATATACTTGATAAATTAAACTAATTCNTGAAATCTTTAACCGATGTGAATAAATTTAACACTACTAACGTTTTTAGACCCCTCCTGGGTCCTTCTTCAGGTAAAAAATCGTCAAATTAACCATTTGTTTTGAAAGATTTTTAAAACATCGAACGATAGAACGGCATCACGTGTTCCATATTCCTGAACGTAAAAGTTTCCACGTCATAACAGAAGCAATTGAAAATATTTTTCTTTTTATTTTTTATGTAATTACTGCTCTAAGATCTTTGATGTTAAGCAAAAAACACATTATATGCATACATTATATTATATCAAATACTGTGCAATGTATTTGATATGCTTCGCAATGGAAAGGATAAATCTGAAGATGAAAGATTGCCAGGCGTATATAAAGTACCACTTAGGGACCACCGTTTTGACAGGGACTTAGTATACATAGGATCAACGAAACGTGCAGTTGGGATCAGGTGGAAGGAACACATCCGTGACATTCGACTTAATAAATGTTCCACATCCTTATCCACTTACGCGTCTGATCCAGAGATCGTAGCAGACTTCTCAAATGCCAAGTTAATCACCACCTCCGCATATGCAGACCATCTCAAGTGGTTAGAGCAGATAGAGATATACAGGGCATACAATGATTCATCACCCATTAATTCCAGGGATGAAATCTCTCTATCTTTGGCTTGGCAAGCCCTAATGCAACAGGAAGATTAAGGGAGTCGTAAACGTAAGCAAAGAGGACGAAAGGATAGACAGTATGCATATAATGTGTTTTTTGCTTAACATCAAAGATCTTAGAGCAGTAATTATATAAAAAAATAAAAAGAAAAATATTTTCAATTGCTTCTGTTATGACGTGGAAACTTTTACGTTCAGGAATATGGAACACGTGATGCCGTTCTATCGTTCAATGTTTTAAAAATCTTTCGAAACGAATGGTTAATTTGACGATTTTTTACCTGAAGAAGGACCCAGGAGGGGTCTGAAAACGTTAGTAGTGTTAAATTTATTCACATCGGTTAAAGGTTTCGGAGGTACGTAGTATTTAATAATATATAAGTTTTTATAAAATTTTAATATCAATTTGCATTCAATAATCACCTAATATCTGTATAAAAAATAAGAGCTGAAGAAAAGTCACTAAGACCTGAAATGCATATATCCAGTAATAAAGTGTATATTAATAAGAGTTCCTCGTGTGATGTAAGTTACTGAAAAAACACCAAAATTTTAGGCTTAAAAATTCTAAATAAAATATATTTAACAGAATTTATTTAAAATTTGTATAAAATCTTTATTATAAGGCTGAAAAACATTACAATAAATCCTCATTTTCATACATCTAAATTTTGAGAACACAAGATTTGAAACAGGTGTGAGGTATCATTAATGCATTGCTTTCTACTAAATGCCATTTTACACAATTAATCATATTGATTTCAAAGTTATTAATCTATATATATAAAATTGCTTATCCTGACTGACTCATTCACTCACTGATTCATCATCGCCCAGAGCAAACCGCTGAACCTAAAGAGGTGATATTTGGTACACAGTTAGGGTACGTCATGAAAACACTCACTAAGAAGGGATTTTTCGAAATTCCCCTGTGGGGGGAGAAAGAGAGCATTAAGGCTTAACCGAAAAAACGGCTTCTACTGTACTATTTTAGATGCGATTTTTTGTTTTTATCTGCGTTTTAGTAGGGTATACCATGGGAATGCACACTATGAAGGGATTTTTCGAAATTCCCCCCAGGGGGAGAGGAAGAGGATTAAGTCTTAACCGGAAGAACGGCTTCTACTGTACTATTTTACATGCGATTTTTTGTTACGTTTAGTCTTCATTAAGTACTTAAGTGTATTAAATTAATAACATTTCAGACATTGTTATAAATATTTTTATATATTTCAATTTTTTAACCAAATGTTCAAACCTTTTTAAATTTGAATTTGTTATTGCGTACCGGTTCGATTATAGAACGATTGTAAACGTTCCAGAAAATTTATCAAATTGAAAATAGTTTGTTTGATTCTTAGCAATTCTCATCATTCTCGGCAGTAGGTGTTATATAACAATTACTATGGTTGTTGAAATACTGAATATAAATGGGGTTTGATTGCAAAACCTTCGCGGGCGAAGTCACGGGTAACAGCTAGTCAACCTATAAAAATCAATTTTTTTAAAAAAAGGAGCAGGACTCTGGTCCTGGAGGATTGAAGAGGAAGCTAGAAGTATTAATCTTCCTCCATTCTCTAGACTTAGACCAGATTCAGAGAGCTAGCTGATCTATAAATCCTTTGAATATTTTCACTCTTAAGAAAGTTTTTTCATGAACTGAATCTTGTATAGATGAGCAAATTGCATTTGATAGCACTGTATGAGCTATACAGAACTCAAACCTTATAATTTCACTCAATCATTTTACATGTGCTGTGAATGTATGAAATAGTGTATGCCACTTAACTTTGATATCCCAATCTGAGATGATAATATGTCATCAAAGGTATTGCCTTTCTGTAATGTTGAACAGACTCTTACAATTTCAGATCTTTATTTTTACTAAATGAAAATATATTGAGAAACACTCTGTAAATTGTGTTAAACTATTGTATTAAACTGTAAACTATTTCTAGAATCCAAATTAGGACTGTAGCACTAGCTGAGACTCTACTGTATGAAATGTTGAGAAGGACACAAAGCATGAAAATGAGATAATTTATTTGAAGAAATATGAACATTAATTAATAATAATTATAACTATTTATTTATGAATAATTTTAAAAGTAATTAAACAGAAAATTTCTTGTTATCTCATGAAAGTTTCATTCAAATAATTTAATTTTATTAATTAAAAATGTACAGTTGCTTTGCTTGATGTCTCACACTGTTTTATGTTACTTTTTACTGTACCTTAAGGATGTTTAATGTCGTAAATCTGTAATCAATGTAAATGATATGATATTGTACAATAATTAATAACAGGCAACCATTTTGTCAAAATATTTTATACATTTCTAAATTCAACACTTATATCACTGGTGAGTTATCTATTGAGTCTCTCCATTGAATGAGTGATATCATGATTTTGTAGATAAAAGAAATCCTTGCATAATTGTACAATGACATTTAATCAAATACATACAGTAACTTTCATTATTCTGTCTGCTATTACAGCTTATGCACAGCAAGAGTTAGCCAATAGTTCCAATCTGTGAAATTTACTTGTTTCATGGAAACCGCTATGCTGGTTTGTTGAATACTCATTGATCTTTCAGGTCATTGAGCTCAACGGGGAACTAATGCTGGAGCTTCAATGGACTATTCAATAGTCCATTTAGAAATGTTGTTTTCTCACCGTTGAACCAATTGTTGAATATAGAAATGTACCAATTGATCATTAATCAACAAAATTCTATATCAATAACAATTGTAACAAATTACTTAAACAGCTTTTTTTATGTATTTTGTGCTAGGCTGCTTTTTTCATTTTTGTCTCATTCAGTCCTTATGGTCACCAAAAGAACCTGTTTTAATGATATCCATTGTGGGTTTCAGCCAGGCTCATACAAGGTTTGATGGGCAATGTAATATGCAGGCAATTTGTCAAGGACAATGTCTTCCAGAATGACTTTTTATGTGAAACTGCCTCTTGAGTTTTTTTGTTCCATCCTGTGGACAGTAAGAGGGTTCTGCCAGATCTATAATGAGACAGCCAATGCATAAATAAAATAAAATTATTTATGATTTAATTGATAATATTTTTAGGTCATTAACTTTATTTAAAAGTTGTTATCATTTTTAAAACAATTAAAAAAAAAGGCGAAGGTAGGATCGAACCTAGATCGCCCACGTGGCAAGTGAGTTTGCTACAGACTCAGCCATTTTGCTGTGCTATGTAGTGTAAAATTGATCAGTATATAAGCTGCATTTAAAACTTTAGAGCCTTTTTTCTCGGAATCTTCTGGCTAGTGCGCTTTACAATTCTTCTGGGTGGACACCCTTGAGATATACTACTAACCTGCGAAGTCTCATCCCAAACTGAATTTCCAAGACCACAAGGTCCACTTGTCAGTCACTGGTGGGTTTCCCACATGGGAAGTTATAGGATCAAGAGTGATGGAATTTGATATATCCAGAATGGGGACTGTCCATGATAATTTCCTGGGATTGCTTGCCTGTATTCAATCCTGGGTCCCCAAAGTAGTTATCTGATACCCCTTAACTGCCTCAGCCAATCAGCTATATCATCATCATCATCATCATCATCATCATCATCATAATTATCAAGGAAAGGAACAAATGTTATCAGGTTTCTTTGTAGAGGAAATGCTTTCTTTTTCTCATCACTTTTTCAAGTTTGGAATATGCTACTCTAAAAGTTGGCAACCTTATCTAAATAGTTTGTAATTGTTAATTGAAAATATTGGTAAGCTTTGATATAAAATAGTATTGAATTTGGTAACTTGCATATTAGTAACATCAAAATTGACAATATTAGACATTCATTTTTTGGCATTGATATTGGAAAATATCACTTATATAGTAGATTATTTGATAATATTGAACATTGTTACTGTGTGTCATAAAAGACAATTTGTATGTTGGTTTTTTATTCCATTCTTTATAGTTTTTTTTTTTATATTGATATGATTTTTATTAATGTACAGAGTGGTAACAAAAATTTTACATTAGTGCTATTTTATTTAAAGGTGTTTGATATTTTCTATTAAATTGGATCATTTGCATGAATTTCTAACCTAAACTTAACCATACAATCAACTACTCCCACATTGCATTTGTGTTATACAGTGATGCACTGCTACTGCTTGTGTGTTGTGGAATGAAACATTCACTTGTCCTATTTGACAGCCTGTTCTGGGATCTCACTTGACATTTTAGAATGCATTAAAAGGTAATAGTACATATTTTTTCATATGCTACAATTTTGTAATTGACAGTGTTTATGTGCCCTATTTTCATTAGGGATTGAAATTACAACAGTTTTCTCCAATAGAAAGGCCAGAACAGGTGAAATCATCATTTAGTGCATGCCTGACATAGTATTCATTAGGAAAAGTTTACAGTAATTGATTGCCCTATTAGTTTATGAAATAGTTAGCTGGGATGAAACTTTTGTTACGATCCTGTATATAAAAATCACTTCATAACATGGATATTTATTCATTACTAGTTTATGTATCTGGCATTGCCCAGGTTTACAAGAGAAAAATTTAAAAAACATGAAATTATTAATTTTATAAAAGTAATATTCAAAAAGAAAAATATCTAAATACTTAGATGTGACAATTTGATTTTAATATCAAAAACAGAGAAAAAGATACTTTTTACAGTATAACTTATAATATATTTATATTATATATATATATAAATGGACATGTATGTCCCTATATTTCACTTTTCCGCAAAAACTACACATCGCACGTGAATGGTGTTTGTATGTGGTGGTAGCCCAAAGTCTCCATTCGTGCATAGGGGTGGTTGCGTCTCGATAGCTATAAGGGTGCGGGAGATATGAGGCTGAAAGTGGTTGAAAGTGGCTTTCTATTTCGAATGTTTTGTTCGAATTTGTTCGAATTAAATTCGAACATAAAATTCGAATATTGGTTCGATTATAGAACGATTGTAAACGTTCCAGAAACGTTGAAAATAGTTCGTTTGACTAAACGTAAAAATTCTCTAATTAGTCTGGAAACGGGGGACCTAATTCTTGCATTCTGTGAAAACGGGTAAGATTAGCTATAATGTAATTATCTTAATCTTCACTATTGTTACATTTTGCCCAGCAAAGCGGGTCCTTGCAGCTAGATTCTAGATTACTTAGAAAAACAGTCTTTTATATATATAAAAAAAACTATATTACATACAAATAAAAACCAGTGAAGCGGGTCCTTGCAGCTAGTATATATATATATATAAACGAACGTGTGTGTTTCTATATTTCACTTTTCCGCAAAAACTACACATTGCACATGAATGCTGTTTGTATGTGGTGGTAGCCCCAAGTCTTCATTTGTGCACTATGGGGGTTGCGTCTCGATAGCTATAAGGGTGCGGGAGATATGGGGCTGAAAGTGGTTGAAAGTGATTTTCTCTTTCGAATGTTATGTTTGAATTTGTTCGAATTTAATTCGAACAAATTCGAACATAACATTCGAACAATATTCATATAATATAACATTTGTTCGAATTTAATTCGAACAATATTCGAAATTGAATTTGAACATAAAATTCGAATATTGGTTCGATTATAGAACGATTGTAAATGTTCCAGAAACGTTGAAAAGAGTTTGTTTGACTGGACGTGAACAGGAGACGTTCAGAAATAGAATCGGAATCAGGTCTCTAATTAGTCTGGAAACGGGGGACCTAATTCTTGCATTCTGTGAAAACGGGTAAGATTGGCTATAATGTAATTATCTTAATCTTCATTATCGTTACTTTTTAAAAACCCAGAGAAGCAGGTCCTTGCAGCTAGATTCTAGATTACTTAGAAAAACAGTCTTTTATATATAAAAACAACTATATTACATACAAATGTACGAACAAATAAAAACCCAGCGAAGCGGGTCCTTGCAGCTAGTAGAATATATAATTTTATATATTAATCTATTATATATAAAAAACAATATTACTTACAGAATTTTCAGTATAACACGTTTGACTCCATGCATGTGAGTAGTGCTATCTGCTACCCAACCCAGTAATGATATAGCATGTCTATTGGAATATTTTTGAAAGCAGAGGCAAGTAGGGAACTATCCATTTGTTGTTCACTTCTATTTCAGTAGCACTGTTAGTTTCCACTCTCATTGTTGTGAAAAATCTCTCATTTTCTGGTTTTCATCTTTTGTACAGGGGGTAACCATTATTTCTGGTTTGAGTTTCTGCTTTAAATTTGCAAGGCTATTTCTTGATACACTTTCCATCTTTAATGCAAGATGAACTTGGATTAATTTCCCCATATGGACAATGAATCATATTATTTTTTAGTGTTAAACAAAACATGATCTTCTTTGGCATTTGGAAACTCTGCCAAAATTATGTTATCAGTTTCAGTTGGGTGAACTTTTTCTTTAAGCCAAACCAACATATGTGCATATGATAGCCCAGTTTCTTGCCCTTCAATTGAATGTGTCCAACAACATGTTTCTCCATAGGTCAAATATTTTGTAATTACATCAATTAATTTGATAAGCTTTTGAATGCTTTTGCTGTCAAATCATGGTGATCAATGGGAGATTGTCCAGTTCAAAGTTCCTCCTTAATGTCATGCTAAGATGGATTACATGTGAAGATTATAAAAAGGTTGGGTTGGCAATAATTCCTTATGTATGTCACTGCATCTTGAGTGTAGTAAAATATTACACTGTGAAAACTATATAAGTATTTGGTTTTCCACATTTAATCATTTGGGTATTTTCATTTATGAATAGTGCTTACTTAATTCTAATAATGTTCCAGGCTATATCATTTTCACAGTAATTAAGTGAATATAATATTTGTTTTTTAAAATTATATTTTTTTGGTATGAATTTAATTATTATTTAAAACTTTTTTGCCAGCAGATGGCATTACAAGTAATGACAGCAAGTCAGTTTTATATACTACCTCAAAATCAATATTTTGGGATAGTATGTAGCATAATATCAATTCTAGGGTCTAAGTAATACTCATACAAAATTTGGTCCAAATTGGTGTAATAATAAACATGTGTATAAAGGACAAACCAACAAGAATTCATTTTTATATTTATAGATTTAGAATAGGTGTTCTCTGTTGGACACAAGACTCTGTGGGACCTAAATGAAAGTTATCGTTCTAGTTATGAGTAAAATATTATTACTGCATCAACAAAAAGTACCTATGTACTATTGTATTTTTGTTTTATTTAAAATATAATTGTATATGATCAAAAAACTTTTAAGAAACTCTTAGTTTTATTATCATAAAATACATCCTAAGAAAGTATAGATCAGTATGTTTCTACAAACAAGAATGGTTTACAAAAAAAAGGGACTGTCTCTTCAGAAAGTTTCAAAATCACTGATATAGAGAATTGCACTAATTAATTAAAAGAGAGTTTTTTAAATTTCAGATTTATTATTTACAAAAATAATTGTATGATTTTTAAATTATTTATTCATAATTTAAGTTAAATCAAATAATAAAGCAGATTTAATATAAAAATATTCTTACTTTACAGATGATATATTATGGTTTAAGCCAGTTGAGTTACGGACAAAATATGGGCGTCGTGGTCATATTAAAGAACCTTTAGGTAAATTGTTTTCATTTATATAAGAATAAGTATCAAAACGGATTTTTAATATTTAAGTTTTTATAATATGTATTCATTTTGTAAATGTAGTTTTATTAATAGTTAGATTAGTAATTCTTTTAAAGATTAGTTGCAGGACACAGTCTGTAGAAATAATGTGCAAATCACATTTAATTTATAGAATAATAATGTGCATTAATTATTGATTAAATATATTTTCATAATACATAAAAGCTTGTTGTAATCATCAAAAAATAGATAGTTTATTAATCATTTAAATTATAAAAAGATTAAAACCAGATTACATTGGGTTATATTACTGCTACTATTAATTAATAATTAAATGCTAAATAATTCTTCTAGAACCTTCTAAATTAATTATTAAATTTATCAAGAGATTGTGCCTAATGCCTACCTCTAGTGCCAAATTATTTAGCATTTAATTGTTAATAGTAGTAGTAATAAAACCTAATCTAATCAGGTATTCATTTGGCTTTAATATAACTATCTGGTTTTTAGATGTTTATATTTGAATTATAAAAAGATAATTGTATCTTAAATTTGTAAAACATTTAATAAATTCTACAGATTTATTAAAAATTTTTATAAGATTAGAAAGCATTTATCTTTACTTTCTAGTATAAATTTAAAATATTGATATTTTTGGCTAATGTGTTGAGAATTATAATACTTTGTTCTGTAGGCACTAACAGTATCTTTTCCTGTTACTATAATGAGTTTTCTAAATCAAAGGGATGAAGGCCAGTATATCTAGGTCAGATCAACCATGAAAATTTGAGATTCTGATCAGGACTCAGATTTGGATTTTCAGAGAGCATACTATACTATATCTTTATTGTCTTTGCCATTAGGATGTCAAGAATTATATTTAACAATTCACAATAATTTTGGAATTTTGCTTTCCATGATTACTGTTCATTTCTTAGTTATATAGAAAACCAAGCTTAATTTATATTAATAATTAAAAGATAAGCTAGTTTTATTATTGGGCTATAACTTAGTTAATTATATAGATACTATGTAATTTGGATTAAAGGTATTAAATTTAATAATTAGAATTAAATAAATTAATTTAGAATATTTTGGAGATAAAAATTGATCCCTAGTTGGATTTGAACCCTCAATTGCTTACAGTGCAGATGCATTGTCAGTTATGCCACCTGGGTCTCTATTTGATCTTTATTTTCAGATCAATTAATTTAATTTAGAAGATATATACTATGTTGGGATAAAAGCTTTAAGTAGGCTGAATAACAGAAAACTATGGGTATATATTGGTTTGTTTGGAAAGTTCATAGCGATTTTTAAGAGAAATAAAAGAAACTGTTTTAAAACTAAAAATATACTTTTATTCCATTATGTATGCACCATTGTTTTTAATGACATGTTGCCATCTATGGGGGACTTCATGTACCCTCTTCGTAGACTGTTCCAGTTTTTCCACGATCCACGAAAAACTGATCCACATGGTTTTTGCAAGCTTCCAAAGTGTCAAAGTTTTTATCATGAAGAGAATTTTGCTGAGAACAGAACAAATGGTAGTCCGATGGGGCAAGGTCGGGTGAGTATAAGAGGGAGGTAAAACATCCCAGCCTAGTTCCAATAATTTATGGTGTGTTCATGAAGATGTGTGCAGTCTGGCATTATCTTGGTGAAACACAATGCCTTTTCTATTGGACACTTCCAGACATTTTTCTTTAATTGCTATGTTCAGTTTATCCAATTGGGAACAATACTTATACAATTGTTTGATTCTGTGGAAGCAGCTTGTAGTACAGGATTCCTTTCCAATCCCATCAGATGGTGATCATGACCCTCTTTGGATGAAGACTGGCCTTTGGAGATTTTATTGGTGGTTCATTTTTCTTACCCCATGATCGTTTTTGGCTGATGTTATAAACAATCCACTTTTCATCACCTGCCACTAAACACTTCAAAAAAGGGTCATTTTCATTTCATCTTTCAAGAGAATCACAGATGGAGATGTGATCCAGTAAATTCTTTTCTGTTAAGTCATGAGGTATCCAAATGTCGTAACGATTCACGTATCCGAGCTTCTTTAGATGTTGAAATACAGTACTGTTTGATGACTTCACAATGTCTGCAATCTCTCAAGTTCTGTAATGAGGGTTTAATCCAATAATGCTTTGATCTGGTCCTCTTCAATAACGGGAGATCTTCCTGAGCAGGGAGCATCTTCAAGGCTGAAATTACTTGCTTTAAATTTTGCAAACCACTTTCAAACAGTTGATTCTGCTACAGCACTCCCACCATAAACATCATATATCTTTTTTGCCATTTGTACAGCATTTTTGCCTTTACAATAAAAAAAAAGAAACAAGTGTCGATAATGCATGTTGTTCACATCCATTTTTGCAAAGAGACAAATAAAATGATATTTGAATAATTTTAACAGTTTTTTTTTTTTTTTGTAACGGACACGTCTCAAGATCATTTATCATAATATTCATTTGTTTGTACAATTCTAATCATTTTCATGTCAATCAGTGTCTCAACTATCTGCTATTAAAAATTGCTACAAACTTTCTGAACAACTCAATAGTTGTTTCCAATCAGTGCAGTGAGTAGTCTGTATGGTTATATCTTCAAAATTAAGTTAATTGGTCTGGAAACAAAGATAATGTAATTGGCAATGCATATGCATGGTGAGGAGGAATTGCAGGTTCAAGCCCCACTCCAAATCAATCTTTTCTTCTAGAATATTCTAAATTAATTACTTTAATTCTAATTATTAAATTTAATATAGGATAATGATTTAATCCAAATTTATGTAATATTTATACATTTAATTAATCAAGTTTTAGTCTGAAAAAAATTCAGCTTTAATCTTTGGTTCTTAGTTATTAATTACACTGTCTGCATGTAAAAAGAAGCAAAAAGAAACTTTTATAAGTCAAGTTTTTATCATTTCTTCTTTAAAATTAAAAATCATAACTTTAGAAGTATATACAGTGGTGCCTTGTACTTTGAATTTAATTCATTCCAACAGGTCATTTGTAGTCTGAATCAACTTTTCCCATTAGAAATAATGGAAAGTCAATTAATCCATTCCCAGACCCTGAACAATACCTATTTCAATAAACTTAAAAAAGGAAATACACATAATTTAAGGTAAAAACAACACAATTAAATGCTCTAATAATAAAGCAATTAAATTAAAACACCAAAGCAATAAATAAAATTTTTGAATATTATATAATAAAACTAGCAGACCCATCCATGCCTTGTTGTGGCTCAAAATGTATCTATTATAAATGTATAACACTTCCCCCTGGGGGAAAATTTTTCGAAAAATTTTTTCTTAGTGTACATTCTGTTGACGTACTCTATTAAAATGCAATCAAAAACGCAAAAACCCGCATCTAAAATAGTATAATAGAAGCCAAGTTTTTCACAGTAAGCCTTAATCCTGTCCCTCTCTCCCGCAGGGGGAATATCAAAAAAATACCTTCTTTGTGTACATTCTGTTGACGTACTCTATTAAAACGCAATCAAAAATGCAAAAAACTGCATCTAAAATAGTATAAATAGAAGCAGAGTTCTTTACGGTAAGCCTTCCCCGTAAGGCTTACCGTAAAGAACTGTCCATCTCCCATGTTTAACGGAATAATATATAGCCTATGTCCACCCTGAAGTTCCTTTCTAAATATTGGTGAAAGAATTTTTGAAATCGGATGAGTAATTTCGGAGATTACCTGCTGCATACAAACTAACATACATACAAACGTTACCTCTTTATAATATTAGTATAGATGAAAATTGCATTTATTGGTCACACACCATGGACTTTGACATCTTCATAGATGTATGATATAATTATAACAGTTTTGAAATTTAAGATATTATAGATAATGTGGTTTAAAAAGTTTAATTTGGGAAATTTTGAAGTAAAGGATATAAAATATATGAGGCTCTCAAGAGCTGTCGACGAAAGAAAAACTACATGGAGAAATCATTAAAATTGATGGATACACAATACAGTATATATAATCAAACACATTAAAAATAAGTTGAAAAAAAGCACTTAACACTTCACTTGAGTGAGAGAGAATAAGAACTTGAGTGCAAAACAGATTGTGTTTACGCTTCAGATGCATTTTTCCACTCTGTGTGCAGTTTGAACTCTGAGACGAATTTTTGTCAAATTTAGTGTTCAAAGTTAGTTATTCGAAGTATGAGATACCACTGTATTTTAACATCAAACTCAAAACTTGTATGCACTGTTAGAAAATAAAGATACATTTACTATAATGATATTTTATATTCAGTTTGAATGTGTAAGAAACAAACAGGCAGACAATAATAATGCATTGGTTGGGTTATAGAATGAAATATCAAGTTAGGGTGAAGATATGATATTAATTGAAAAATGTTTTATTTAAAGATTTTTTATATGAGCTAGTTTAATATTTAAACTTATGATATTTATAAAATACAGTTTTAAAATTATACAATCACAATTTCTCAATTTGATTTTCTATTAATTTACACTAAAATTTTTATATCTGTTTAGTATACATTTAATTAGTATGTTGTTTTATCAATGAGTATGTATATTGTTACAAAACACACTGAATAGAAAATGAAGAATGTCATATTATTATATTAAAAAACTTTTTAAATAAATTTATTTTCGTATACTATTTTGCAGGTACTCATGGACACATGAAGTGCATTTTTGATAAGCAGTTAATGTCACAAGATACAGTATTAATGAATTTATATAAAAGAGTTTTTCCAAAATGGACATATAATAAGGATATGGTGAATTCTCCTCTTCTGTCTGATTCATTAATGTATGATATGGAAATGGAATAAATTAAATATTTATTAACTTTTTTTTTATTGGTTTATATTAATACATTTAAAGAATTTATTGAGTTTGAAAAGATTCTTTCATAGGGGAAGGTTGCTCAAGTTGTATCACATAAGAAAAATCAAGCATAATTTATAGGATTTATTAAATAAACAAGAATTATTTGTTTCCTTCAAAACAATTATGAACATTGTTGTTATTTATTATGATAAAGTTTGAAACATCTGTGCCTTTTTACGTGAAATTAACAAAACTTATTAAAATAAAACGAGCAAATATTTCTTGTGACATCATTATAATGCTGGGCTGCAAATTTTTAATCATATTTTTAATTGTTGGAGTGAGGCAAAGCTGATCGACAACTAACACTTGACTTCATGCATCCCATGTCAACATTATAATTCCAGAATGAGTTGTCTGATCTTGATGAAATTTTCTAGGACAACTCATCATCTCTCAAGGATGAACTGATTAAAATTTCAACTCTCAAAAATGATCCATTTTTGTAGAACTGGAGATAGGAGTCAAAATGAAGGTCGTGTTTTTCTTCAATATTAGAGGTCAAAATGAGCTGACTAAGGCTACGTCCTATGTGGCAGCGTCTATTTATTGAACCTATTTATCCAGAGATGTACTTGATCAGTTCCAAACGGCAGTAGAGCTATATCCAACAAACGAACAAGTTAAACAAAGCAACGAAGACTACTTGCAGTAAACTGGATGCCCTGTTGCTTATATAGCATCTGAAAACACTCCAGATATTGCCCTGCCTTCATCCAAAGATGACTCAGCTCTTGGTCTCTTCAAGTATTTGAATCTCTCAGCTAATGCCAGAATCACTGAGAGTCAACTTAAGTGTGCAAGGAGGTCTCGTCAATGGTTCACTAGGAACTATACGCTACATTATATATGTTTTTAATGCTTGCCCTCCAGCTCTTCCTCTGTTTATTTTAGTGGAATTCAATAGCTATCAGGGACCTTTCATCTATGGTAATCTGTTTCCAATAATCCCCATAACATGTTCTTCGAACGATGGCAGTATATTGTGATATCATAGACAATTTCCCCTTACCTTAACATACTTGATAACTAAACATAAATCACAGGTATTAACTCTTCCAAAAATCAAAATAGGTATAGGTAAAAAAGAGATAGCTATTGGTCCTACCTATGTTGCATTCATTCAAGTGAAAAAAATAACTGACCGTATTTTTAAACAATTACAGATTGACTTGTAGCAATCTTTATTGTAAGTCCAAGGCCTATAGTGATAGACAGAATTTCACAATACGTTGGCATAGCAATTAATTAATGGTTTATTCTGACCTTTATTTGTACCTTTAAATGATACAACAGAAATCAAATATAGATATATTGTTGAGAATGAATGATTCTCTTTTTTCCCTCATAATCTAGAAAATGAAGGCGCAAGCAGCCTCACTCCGACTACACACTGATACAGTGTTACATAACTAGTTAATTTAATTTAAAATATATGCTCTCCACCTCAAATTAGTTGTCTTGCCTCTGTTTTATGTCCTGACATATTTGCAAAAAATTATGTTTAATGGTTGTGCAGTTGCTTTGAACTATGATTACAGACAAAACACTTTTTGATTTGTGAAAAGTTCTGCCCAATTATCAGTTTACATAAATCAATTTCTGTTGTAATTTGCATAGGTTTTTTAATAGTATAAGAAACATCATTTCATTACCTTTTTCTTTATTATGTATTCTGGACTATTGATAATTTCTATCAATATTGAATATTTTGTGCATTCTTCCATTCCTCAAAAATACAGTAGTTTAAAATATTCTAAAGGTTTTGAATAATATCTCCAAACTATCCATAGACTATTTTTAATAACATGTCCTTACTTCAACTGGATCCAAGCACATAAAGGGCACGCTGGCAACGAGCTGGCAGACAAACTAGCCAAGAAAGCATGTACCCTCAACAAAAACCCCTCCTATGGGAAACTTCCCCATACTTGGGTGAAGAAGCAGCTAGCCAGCATCGCTCTTACAGACTGGCAAAATGAGTGGGACCATGCAGATACAGGAAGGAAAACCTACACCTACATCCCTTCTATCACCCAAAGGTTCAAAGCCAACCACTACACTCCAGAAGCCGAAACCACGCAGATTCTTACCGGACACGGTAACTTTGCTGCTTACCTACATCGATTCGGCAAAACAAATAACAATATTTGCGACTGTGACAACACCAGCGAAGCAACTGAAGAGCACTTCCTCTACAACTGCCCAAAACACGACAACGAAAGGCTCCAATTCATGGGAAAATGCCTTACCGAAGGCCAGAACTGGCCACCGAATCCACCAGACGTTTTCAACAACAGAAAACTGTGGAAAAGTCTAACTGAATTTGTGCACAAGACAAAGACCCTGAACGCTAGCGGCTTCAGCAGTAGGGCCACCAACAACATACTATCCCACAGCCTAACGAGGCCACCAATGGATTAATAATGTAACGCACGATTATTGTATTTACTACCACTTGTGTTTGTATGGAAATTGTAGTACTGTATATGTAAAATTCTTCGGCACTTAAATGTATACCACAGCAGCTTCCGTATTGTAAATATTAATAATGTAACCAATTGTTATTATCTGAATCTGTAAATACTCGTTTGTAACCTTGTTAGTATCAAACTTAGCCATGTATTTTCTCATGTAATCTGTAAAATCATTGTAACGAAAGCAATGCAGGCACCCATGGTGCCTCCCATGCCTTCTCTTCACACTATTCTCTCTCCCTTTCTTTTCACACTTCGATCTCATGCTTTTTCCTTCCTTCCTACTTCCCACAGAGCAAAGTCCGTAGCTACAAAAAACGGATAGCTCTCTTACCTCTTTATCTCAATGTCTCAATAACATGTCCTTACAGTTTATACAATTATATTTGAAATTCTATCAGTTTCTCAATATATGAGCACTTTATTAAAAGTAATAGTGATTATATTAATCATATTTTGTGAGTTAATTCTAGATCTTTCTCAAGTGATTTAACTAACTGTTTAGTTTCAGTTGTTTGTGGACACCACTAAAATTCTTCTCTTCCAATTTTGTTGTTTTCCGTTATCAATGCCAAATAATATGAGAAGTCTGTAATAATTCCTTCCATAACAATTTCTACCCAGAATTTATTATTGATTCAAACTGTAAATATAAAATAAACTGCATAAATTAATCATTCTTCTATCTAAAAATCTCAGTGAAGTTAGAACATATTGAAGCTGTATCATCATCATATTCATTAATACGTGAATGCAAAAACTTAGAAGTCCTGGATAGAATCATTGGAAGCGGTACACGTGTGTAGCTTCCACCAGCTAAACCGAGTGAGGTTGGTGCTCTGTAAAGCGCATGCGCATAATCTGGCTGTTTGAAAGCTGACCCGGTTTCGACAATACAGCGCATCCATTCCGCCACTGGTATTCCAATATACAATAGCAATCTTATCGTTTTTTTCCACATATACTACAGAAATTTGTAATAAGATAGGTAATGCGGTTATAATAAAATATTAATTTTAATTAATCTAAAATACGTTAAAATATGAAAATAATAGCTCAATATATATTTATTTTTTAGAAAATTTGAGGGAAGTGGCGCTTCCAATTACGACACGCCACTGCTATCACGTCTTTCTTAACTATGGATAATTAACAGACCGAGATTAAAACAGTCCTTTTTATTTCGCCTATTTAAGTATGAATTTCGGATTGGTCCCTATTCGCGCTTGCGGCTTCAGTGTCTCCAACATAACGAACAAAAGGTTAGTTCGTCTTAATTAANCCTTTCCGTCACAGATATTTGAATATACAATAGCAATCTTATTATTTTTTTCACATGTAGTATAGAAATTTGTAATAATATACATAATGCGGTTATATTAAAATATTAATTTTAATTAATTCAAAATACGTTAAAATATGAAAATAATAGCTCAATATATATTTATTTTTTAGAAAATTTGAGGGAAGTGGCGCTTCCAATTACGACACGCCACTGCTATCACGTCTTTCTTAACTATGGATAATTAACAGACCGAGATTAAAACAGTCCTTTTTATTTCGCCTATTTAAGTATGAATTTCGGATTGGTCCCTATTCGCGCTTGCGGCTTCAGTGTCTCCAACATAACGAACAAAAGGTTAGTTCGTCTTAATTAATATACTTTTGTTATCCACAATGATGGATGTAGTGCATAATTTGTACACATCTTAATGGTGTAGTTTCTACATATCAGTCTCTTGCACTTACTGGCACGTTTTCTTTGTTTATTTTTGATGGGAAAATGCCTTTTCTCGCAATTATTAACTCCTTTTTACCTCTCAGAAGGATTTTAACTTCGATATTCTGGTTCATAAGACGACAAAGATCAACATTTAGTTTTCATCGTAAATATTTTCACAAACAAACGCTAACTACGAGCAATTGTCTATTGTGGCATGGTCACAATGCCGGGCTGCAATTCTTAATCATATTTTGAAATCGTTTAATTCAAAATACCTCAAGTTAGTTGTGGCTTGCCCCTGTACATCACACTTTTCCGTTAACAATAGAGTCGTTCCGGTCATCTGTTAACTGACGTTTTGAATTGAAAAAAACTCGACTTTCGGTTTGAATCGGAAGATCATATATAGTTAATTGGGCCTCCTGTCCCTGAAGTTTCCACATCTGGTCTCGGATTTCATATAACTCCGTTCTCGAGGTTAAGACATGCGGACGGACGACAGTGGGAATTTATGGGTCTACAATGACAAAATTTGGAAATAAATGTAGCATTCCTCCGAAAGCAAAATTATCGCGTTGTAAGTAGAAAAAAAAATTCTCAGCCGTCAGGAAATTAAATATTATGGCATGAGAGATACGAGCGAAAGTTTCAAAGTTGGATCAACACTTGCGGAACAAGTCGAACGGAGGTGTCAAATTGATTAAGCGATGAAATTAAGAATTTAGCGGAGAGATTCTTTAAC